AAAGCTTCCATATGGGTGGTGCAGTGGCCTCTTCCTTTACATAAATTAACTCACTTGATATCTTTGGCCCAGGAACAATCCTGAGTCCTCATAATTCTCCCATTTTTGTAATACAAAAGAAGTCAGGAAAATGAAGACTTTTACATGATTTAAGGACTATTAATGAACATATAAAGCCTTTAGGCACCCTTCAATCAGGACTGCCTCACCCTACTGCTATTCCCAAAGAATGTGCAATTATTATAATAGATACTAACGACTGTTTCTTCTCTATTCCTCTTCATGATGATGATAAGCCCTATTTTGCCTTCTCTATATTTGCCACTAACCATAACCTTCCAGTTCAATGCTATTAATGGGAGGTTTTGCCTCAAGGCATGTAAAACAGTCCTACTATCTGCCAATATTATGTGGCCCATGCCTGCAGACTTTTGCTGACTGAGGATTATATTTCACATTACATGTATGATATTCTTATTGCCCATAAGGATCCTATGATCTTACAAGGAGCTTTTCAAAAACTCAAAACAAACCTCCAGGCATTAGGTCTTACTATTGCAGCAGATCAAACACAGTTACATGCCCCTTATACCTTTTTGGGACACTCTATTCAAGATGTCATCCGGCCCATAGCTCCTGTTCTTACCTTACCAGATGAGGTTACCCTTTCAAAGGCAGAGACCCTCTGTGGCTACACCAACTGTATACGGGGATTCTTACCCATGTCCACAGAAGAGCTTACACTACTCTTTGATGTCTTGAGGGGTACTGATATGGTCTCCATTCTCCACAAGGTCTTTCCAGAGGCACAACGTGTTGTCACAACGATCAATTCTCACCTGTACCAAGCATTTGTAAATAGGATACAGCAAAGTTGCCCATCCAAGCACTAGTTATTCCTACTAAAAACACCCCTTTGGGAGCACTCTGGAAGACTCAGGGCCCCCTGATATGGGTCCACTCTTCATGCAGTCAACTTCACAATGTCACCCCGGCTATTGAGGCATGAGCTATGCTAGCACTTAAACTTGTTGACACCTCCTGCCTTCTGTATGGCTACGAACCTGAACCATTGGTTCTTCCCCTTCCACTTCACATGCTCCAGCCATTGTTCCTTGACAACCCTGGCTTCCAAACTCTCCTACTAGTCTATCAGGGGAAATATGACAATCATTATCCTAAACATAAACTCTTTCAAGGAATAAGACAGCTTCCCCTGTCCCTTTTTCCCCAGGCACTCCCAAAGCGTAACCCTCTTCCTAAGGCTCCCCTAATCTTACTGATTCTAGTAAACACAAATTTGGTTATGTAATTTACCAGGAATGACAACTCTCCTCATACAAGGTTTTCCCTTTCCAGGGATCTGTACAGCTTGGAGAGCTCTCAACCATGTTAGAGGTCTTTCAGGATCTCCCTACAACTCCCTGTAATATTTTTTTCTGACAATGCTTATGTAGTTCAGACTCTACATCTGGCCTTTGCAGCTTTCCGGCCCCACCAGAGTCTCCTTGATTTGTTGCTCTCCTCATTAAAACTAGTGCTTGAGCAGCGCTCTGCCCCTTGGTATATTCAATGCTTGCACTCTCATACCAATCTCCCGAGGCTTCTGGCAGAGGGCAATGCCACCACTGACAAACTGATCCTGAGTGCCACCCTAGACCCACCGTAATTCAAAAAGCTAGAGACTTACATGCCTGTTTTCATCTTTATCCCCAAGCTATACATAGGCTTCTAGCCACTCTACCAATTCATAGCTGCAAGCATTTGGTCTGTGCCTGCTCCTCTGTGCCCCTATTCTACCTCTGGGACCATTAAAACCCACTGGAACTCTCCCTAGAGGCCTTGGCCCCAACAAGATATGGCAAATGGATGTCACTCATTTTTTTCCTTTTGGCAAGCTCAAGTATACCCATCATATTATTGACACTTATTCCAATGTCCATTTTGCATTGGCCTGCTCTGGTGAGTTGGCTTCTCATGCCATAAGGACTGTCAAAAATGCCATGGTCCTTATGGGAGTTCCTTGGCAAATGAAAACAGATAATGGTCCTTGTTATGTTTCTGCTACCTTCAGCCATTTTTGCTCTGACTGGAATATTAGGCATATAACTGGTATCCCTTACAATCCTCAGTGTCAAGGGATTGTTGAATGTTCCCACCAAACACTCATTAAACAAATACAGAAAATAGGGGAAGACAATGATAAAGGCCCCCACTATAAGGACCCCAATTTTGTTATACAACAAGCTCTATTTGCATTAAATTTTCTAAAAATTGACTCCAATGGCCTCCCACCAGCAATAAAGCATTGGGGGGCGTTCACTCAGCCTACTCCTGCCCCCATGGTGAGATGGAAGGACCCTCTCACTAGTGAATGGAAAGGTCCACACCTATTATGAACAGAAGGGCAAGGCTATGCTTATGTCTTTCCAGATAATATTCCAGCCCCCATTTGGATCCCAGCTCAGACATCAGAATTGCCTGTGATGGAAAACCTCCCTCGACAACCATCGACCCTGGAGATGGCAGCTCTGACCCTGGAGGAAGCAGTGTACCTCTCAACACTGAGAGACTGACCGGCATTGCAGACCATGAAAGCAACAGGCTCCAACAGCACACCCGATAACCTGGGATGACCTTGAGTATCTCACTTCACAAGCAGAGACTATAGTCATTACTGGTATCCCCTAATTTTTGGACCCTGCATTGTTAATTTTGTTAAGGCTAGTTCAGTTAGCTGTTGCCCTTCCTCCAGATCTTGCCACACATGTCTCTGCAAACAAGGACCCACTGTTCCTTGCCCTTGCCAACCTATAATTGGCCTCTGACTGGTTTCAACAAATTCTTGACCCCTGAGGAGGCCTTTAAACAGGCCAATACTGGATGTACTGCCTCTGCCTCTGGCAAACCACACAAAGGGACCCACCATTTGAGGGCTGGTAGTCAATGATGGATAAGATTCTGACAGATGGGACAACCTAAGACAGGCACAGTCCATCATGCTGGGTGACCCTTTAGGTGGGGACATCAATGGTGAGGCAAAGAATCTTGACTCCCACTGGTTGGCATGGGGTTGGGACAACTGGCTCTTAAGAACGCTCACCATCTTGAGGGAGGGAGCTCTTGATACAATGACCCCCCTGAGCCATTCTACTTTGCCTTGATGTATCTGGACTGATATCAATATGCTATATACTCTAAACTATACCTCACCTTTAAAAATAAAAAAGGGGGAGATGTGGGAGACACGTTTGAGCCTAGGGTGAAAATCTTATTGACAGCCATACAGCAGGCCAGAGGCAATGGCCCAACTGCTGGAGCCACAAGGAATGCCCTGTGACATTTGCTCCCATTGGCAGATCATGAGACTGATGCCTAGAGCTCACCACTCCCTAATTACCACCCTTGGAATTCCAAATTGCAACACTTAGATATTGCAACAGTCAGGGTCATGTGGTATCCAGGAATCCAGGCTGTGTAATATGAAACCCATTATGCTAATGAGGCATCCTACTCGCTAGTCTGTGATAAGACATTAAGTCTGTTATGCTAATAGGATACTAAGTCTGTTATGCTAATAAGGTGTCCTACTTGCTGTACTGTGATAGGATGCTAAACCTGTTATGCTAATGAGGTATCCTACTTGCTGTGCTCTGATTGGACCACTACCCCTATATAAGCTTGTGCCTTCCTGCAATAAAGCAGATCTGTGTCACTGAACCTGGTCTCCTGTGTCTGAATGTGGCTCTGCTGCCACAGTCTCCTCACCAGCCCTAGGTTCCAGGACTGGGCAGAAGCAGCAATGGCAGGAGACAGCACAAGGCGAGCAGAAGTGCTGCCTCAGCAACAGGTGACCAGAAGAGCTGCCTCAGCCCAGGGCGAGTGGAGGAGCAACCTTGATGCCCGTGAGAATGAAGGCGCAGCACCCATGAGAACAGAGCAGCGGCACCCATGAGAATGGAGAAGCAGCCGCCGCTGGTGGTGGCCGCACACACTAATATTAAATGTCATAATTAATTGTAGAATATCAAATAGTTACAAAATATATGATGGTGTAGCAGTTGAAGATAATTTCTGATTTCAAACTTCTGACAAAATACGTAATCTAATATGTACTCTAATCTAGTAATTTTCTTACTAGTATATAGTGGAACATATAAATTATTGGAATAAAATTAAATGCTCCAAAATGAGCCTTACATTTCATGTAAGCAAGGGGGTTGCCTGTGGGTATGTATTCATGCACATGTGAATGTGCACATTGGTGCACTGGTCTGTGAGTGCCAGAGGTCATCTTGAGGTGAAACCCTCAATAAATCTCCATCTTAATTTCTGAGACAGGTTCTATCAGTTAAAGCACGATTCAGCAATACGTCTAGACTGCATGTCCACAGTAGTGATTACAAGTGCATGTCACCATGCCCATTTGTTTTTTCATATATTTTGGGAATCTGAATATGTCTTTATGCTCCATGGGATATATTTACTAATGAATGATCTCTATATCCCCAAACACTCAAATACAGTCACTTAATATCTTAAAAGAGGCCAATATATTCAATAGAAATAATTTCCAAAAATCTAAGGATAAATGTTCCTATCAAATGAAAACAAATTTAAAATGAATTCTTCACTCATCATAATGGAATGGATCAGAATGGATCATATGTGAAAACATACCTAAATTTACAAACGTTATTAAAATACCAGTATACTATGAAGTAATCTATATTATTAATAAATGAATATTTCAGATATGAAACTCAAATGGAAATTACTGAAAAATAACATAGTGCAATTTTTAAAAATTAAGCATTTTTTTTCAAATATAAAGCATTTTCTCAAAAGGGTGGTATGACCCAAAAGTACAGGGTTTAATTTTGATGAAATGTTTATCATTGAAAGATAGTGGAGGAGGGAGGAGATACAGAAAACAAGTGAGGGGATCCTGCATAAAAACTCTAGAGACACAACACAGAATTGACTGCACTTACCATCAGTATACCTTCACATTCTTCCCTTGGTTACTTCACTTTTCCTCCATTCTCCATTATGGAATATAAATTCTAATATAGGGCTAATACCTGAAATAGAAAATACTAACAATATTGGACAAGAAAAAACAAAAGCAAAATTAGTGATGTATTGAAAAATGGACCACAGTTTCTCTAGTTAGCTTCTCTATTGCTGTGACAACATACTTTGACCAGTATCAACTTGAAAAGGAAGGGGTTCATTTGGCCTACAAGCACAGTCCATCATCAAGGGAAACAAAGGCAGGAATTTAGGGCAGGAACCTGGACCACAGAGCATGAAAGAATGCTGCTTACTGGCTTGTTCCCAGCCTTGTACTCCAACCTGCATTCTTATACACAGGACCACATGTCCAGGGTGGAACCACCCACAGAGGGCTGGACCCTCCTACAGCACTCAACAGTCAAACAAATGCCCACTTAGATGGCTACAGGCCAGTCCAATGATGTCAATTCCCCAACTGAAATCCCCTCTACACAGGTGTGTCAAGTTGAAAACTAAAGCTATCCAAGACAATAACAAAACTAAGTACATAGAGCTCAAGCAATGGAATAAGTCATTGTCAACACAAAGATCATAAAAGTATACTGTCCAAATATATAAAGTACCCTACCACTGTAAATTTAAAAGGGGAAAATTATGGCTAAATACTTCCTAGAATAGACATTGTATTAGTTAGAAATAGAAACTATAGAAACAGAACCAGTAGAATGGATACATTCCAAGCTGTTTGGAGTCCAGAAGATCAGCACAGACAGCAAAGAATTCTATATGTCAGACTCTGAGGTGAAGGATTTGGCACTATGGTGCTGGACTTCGGTTTTGCTTAAGTGTGATTCTTTTACCAATCTGATTCTTCCCTTTTAGAATAAGAGGTATTTAACTTGATTTTAATTTTACAGAAACTGCAGTTAAGAATCTTTAGATTACTTTAAAAAGACATTGACATTTCTAGTGGTGGATTTTTTGTTTTTGTTTTTTCAATTTTTAATTGAATTTTTGTGTATTTCATACAGAACATACCAATCAATCTTAATTATCTTTATATCCCCCTTACACACTGGCACATTCCCATGATGGTGATGGATTTTTAAAAAAATTTTGAGATTTTAGATTCTGGGGAGTATTTTATATTGTGACATTACCATGAGATGTTACCAGTAAACAAAAATGTAAAGTTATGTTTTAATAGTGATGTGTTTGTGTGTCAGGTGTTAAGGGGTTAGTTATGACTGTCACCTTTTCTTGTCAAAAACTAGAGTCCTCTGGAAAAGTGAACCTCATTTGATGAACTTGATGAGATTGGCCTGTGAGCTTGTCTGTGGGGCATGTTCTTGATTACTGATTAATTTAGGAGGCCAGAACCATAGTGGGTAATGCAAAACCTGTCCAGGTGGGTGTAGGCTATTTACAAAAATTAGATAGACAAACCAGGGAGAGCAAGACAGCAAGGAGCTTTCCTCTATGATATCCATTTCATTTCCTGCCTCAAGATTTCTGTCTGTATTTCCTGCCTGACACCACTTACAGATTGTGCATTGAAAGTATAAGATGAAATTCTTCATA